TACCATTTTTGTTTTTCAACATGACGCCATTTTGTTATTTTGACATGCTGATAAAGGATGTGAGAGATCTTCAAACGATTAATAATGTGATGTGAAATGTGCCAAAAAGGTAAAGGATAGGAGGGAGTCCTTCAAGCTTTTGCGCTACATAAGGTCAAAAGGAAAGCAATTTGTTCATTTTGAAACGAAGTTACAAAACACACGATGTTTCGAGTTTTTACGCCATGTAAGGCAAAAAGAAAAGCAAAAAGTTTTTTGTTATTTTGACGTAGATAAAGACCGTCGAGCTATTGGAACAAGGCTATCCACCGCTTTTAATCCTGTTTGCATTGGTTCATGCACAGATTTACGTGAAATAATTCCGGAGCTTTGACTTGTACACGTCTCCGCTCTACAGCGCCTAAAGCACCTTTTCCATCAATAGGTACTCCTATCGCATCAACAACACGACCCAACATAGATCTTCCTACACGAACATCTACAATAGATCCAGTACGTTTGACATCATCTCCTTCTTTAATGGCAGTATCACTTCCAAAACCCCCAATTCCTACTGTCTCATTTTCTAGATTCAGTGCCATTCCTTTAACACCACTCTCCGTGAGGTTTCAGTAAGCGATTGTGAAGTGATACAAAAGGCAGACATGCAAGATAGGTGAATAGAAAAGAGGGATAGAAATAGTGGTAAAAAACAATCTCAACCATTTACTTAAAGAGTAAAACACCTAACACAGGCAAACAAAACAAAGAAAAGGTAAGAAAAACAGGAGAGAGAGAGAGAGAGAGAGAGAGAAAATATATACAAAGCACATGCAAAATGTCAACGCAATTCGACTCTTCAATGGGTGTAAATAAATTGGACCATTTGACACCACCTCAATCAAGCTGACACCCCCTCAATCAAGCTTTATGATCCTGCGTGTCATCTCCCCTCATTGATTTTCGTTTCGCTCACCATCTAGATTCCAAGTGAGGCTCTCTTATTGCTCTGCTGAGCGCGCTTGGGCATACTCACACCAGGTCTTTTCAATTCATGTTGAAGCAACCGGCACCCATACATCGGGCAAACTCAGGGCTCACTTGCACCAAGTCGTTTTCAACTTCTCTGTAGACGGGATTGAGGTCAGGAGCATCCAACTGCCCGTAAATGCCATTAAAAAATTGGAGCACCAGGTAATGAATTGGAGAGAGCCAGCCACTTGTGGCCGACAGCTATTGGGCTCGCGGATTAGACTGTCCTCGAACTAATTAAACCCCCTACTCGTATCCGAACGAGAGTTTCACTAATTTAGGTGATCTATACATCTAGTGATGGGGTTAGATAGGGGTCGTAGTTCGGATAACCAACGCCTGTGCGTACAACGCACACAAATCTGTGCACCATACGCAGTGCCTCAGCTGTTGGGCTACATGTTCCTCAAATTTCAACAGTCTTCCACGCCATAACTCGTCTCATCCCATCGCACGTATACTATTCTTCCCAACATCCATAAACGTAGACCCCACTTTTCACATACCTCCATACTGTCCCTTCTGTTTTCTTGACCCAAATTTCCCATCACTTCCTCCCCTCGCTTTCGGTTGCCTTACGTCGCTATTTTCAACTCCCTCTATCACGATCACTCATTTCCTCCCCCCCCGTGCTTTCCCTTTGTTTTTTCCTGCTCCACTTTTTTCCTTTCTCCATGCTTTCCCTTTCTTTTTTCTTGCTCCGCTCTTTTCCACTCGCTTTCGCTAGCCTTATCTTTCCCGTAATGTTTAAGCGTCCATATCTTTTCTATCCTGTTCAAGTGCAAAACGAGCCTAGCTCAGTTCGTACACCCATGAACTGTTGAATGGCAGACTGAAGTTCAGCTCGTACACCCACGAACCGTTGAATTGCAGACCGTAAGTCCAAACCCTGTGCAATGATATAATTCCGAATTACCTCGGGCCAATCAGGTCTACGATGATATCGAAAAGGCCTTTCCCCTTCGGGGATTAAAAAAAAAAAAAAAAAAAAAGGTGTGCTCTTAGTCCTTAATGCTCGACAAAACAAAAAGAGCAAGAACCCTGCATAGAGGAGGCACATCACAACCTTGGAGTGTAGTGCTCCTAAGAACAGGTGCCTGAGCACTATGTGCATACTAAAAAGTTGGAAACAAAGCAAACCATGCACACAGGGAGGCATAGTATAAAAAGCCAGAGGCATAGAGTAACGGGGAAGTTGAAAGAGGGGGAAAACGGACACTCTGAAGAAAAGCATTACATCACCACTACCTCCACCAGCGCAGGGAATAATGGGAAAAGTCGCTGTTTTCCCACTTTCTCCAGGCTTTTTGCAGGTCGGCGGAGGCTCGGCAGTCGAGCCTTGTGGACCCCTTCAAAAAGCAAAAAGAAAAACAAAAGACCAAGTCCAGGAAGGCCGTGCACAAAGTCGTGCTCACACCACTACTCACAAGAAAGTATCTAACTACGATTGTGATCAGTTGCTGCTGTTTTTTTTTCTTTTTTTGTTTTTTTTCCATGCCCTACCGGAGAGGCACCGCGCAGTCCACAGGGTGCTGACACTTCGGGAAGGAAGGCATGCCCACACTACAACTTGGCAGAATGTATGAACCCGCTCTCCCGACCAAAGTTCAGTTCCGATTTTTTTCCATTTTTTCGGTCGACCGTATATTTGAACACAGAACAGCTCCCTAGGTTGGATTCGAACCAACGACCCAATAGATAGGGTAAGCAGTGTGTGTAATCTGACTAAGCTTCCCTCCGAACCGTGCGTGCAAGATTTCCAAGCACACGGCTCTTCATCAGTTTGGCAAGACTACTGACTGTTTCCCTTCCGATTTCATGTACTATGGAAACTCTGACGCCACACTTCGTGCCGGCACACGGACAAAAAAGTTGAATCTTTTTTCATGGACCTGACACCCCTGCCGCAAAGCCCTCACTGAGGGCATACTGGCAAAACAACTTTGGGGCAGGTCCTTTTTCTTTTTCGATTTTGTGGTTGTGAGTACGTCGTTTTTTGAAAGTCCAGCTGTGTCTTCTTTTTTTTTTGGTTCAGAAGAGTACCAGAAAAGAAACGCAACAGACCCCAGGCTAGGTCGGCAAAACTCAGTGCGCAGTGAAAATCAGGGGCTCGGATGTAGGGGTGGTTTGAAGAGGAACGTTGAGCATGACTCATGCTCCCTGGACCTTTGTTTAAGCCGCCAGTACTTGGCCCATACATCGGCCGCGGGCGTTTCCCCTCAAACCACTATGCCTTTGCCGTGGGGGAAAATAGCAGGCCTCGGGTGGGCCTCCGAGCTTTCCGGATGGCCGAAACGAAACGACGGCCGCCGATCAGATTTATCAATGGCAGCTGTCGTCAGGCCCGGCCTCCCAATTTGCAGTTGTTTGGGAAAACGTTCACTTTTCCCTAATTTCCCAACACTGGCAGAGCTACGAGGGCTTTAACGCGCCGTGCCTGATGGGCTTCAGCCTACCAGACCGTAATGGCTGGAGGCGCCAGCGAAAAGAAAGTCGAAACGGCGTGGCGTCGGCTGGGCAAAACTTGGCACGCAGGGCATATTCAGTCTCGGAATCAATAGCTGGGCAAAGTACTGGTGGTTTAAAGAGAAAAGTTCAGCATGACTCATGCTCCCTCGAGCTTTCTTTCATTGTTTGCTTAGGGGCCCTTTTCTAGCTGACAGGTTCTTTCATTGTTTGCCGAGGGGTCCTGTTCTAGCTGGCAGGTGTGGCAATTTCGTGCAGACTATAAATAGATAGACAAACATCCTGACAAGTTGGTCAACAAAGGATTGCACCAGAGTCCCCGCTTGCTTGTTGGCTCTTTCGTTTTCTGCCCCTACGCTTCTCCCTCAACAAGCTATTTCCATGTATGCATGTCACAAGCAACTAAACGGTGAACTCGGGCACGAACAGAAAAAAGATCGAAAACCACATTTCTACACGGATGATAGGAATGCCATGCACCTATGCCCGCTCACATCCATAGCGCATTTTCTGGCAATGAAAGACAGCCTGGCTGGTCGCCCAGTGCAGAAGGACAAAAGGACACTCATACGTCAATGTAAAGCCTCTGTTTCTTTTTTAAATAAAAACAGGACCTTGTATGTAGTCCTGGCTGCGCGAGCTTTTCATGGGTTTCTTCGAGTTTTTTACCTTGTGGTCCTCAGGCTCCTATGTTACAGATCAGAGGCTTTCAACAACTCACAAGTAAAACCCTCAGCTGTGACCCTTCAAGCCTATCGCCGGACCATATAAGGCAAAAAAAAAAAGGGAGTGGAAAGGATGGGGAGAAGCAGAGTGAGTATGAGAGAAAGACGACAAATTAGGAAAGGATTAGAGCAGCCTCGTCAGCAGATTCATGTTGTACGTAATACAATCAAACCGTAAACGCAGTCCCAAGATATGGCATGCATGCAAAGCCGAGATAAGCAGATTCACCAAAGGGCCTAAAAAGTTAAAGACGAAATACAGACCAGAGTTCAAATCCAGATCCAACTGGATGAACAAAATCCCCAACCTATCTGGGGCCTGGCAGTTGCACAATGATGATATCTCAAGGTAGTTGCCCTTTAACAAGGACAAAAAGAAAAGGGAAAAGGGAGGACGAACAAGAGGAGGAAACAAGAAAAAGAGAAGGAAAAAAAATAGAAAAAAAAAAAGACAGATTCACAAGCAGATACCTCTGAGCAACAGAAATAGAAAAAGATAGCAAACACCTATGTCAGCCAGCTGAGCATGTCATCTTCATGTGTGAAGAGTATTCATACGATGAGAAAAGGAGATGAGGAAACACATATATCAGCCCGCTGAACATGTCATCTTTATGTGTGAAGAGTATTCATACGATGAGAAAAAGAGATGAGGAACTGTGCTCTGAACACCACAGACAGTACCTTGGAGTGCACATAGTGCAAGCTGTGCGCGCCGTCTTATCATATGGACGAAGGATGGTACCCCCTTTCTCATTGCTTTCAACCTTTCGCACCCAGGTTAACGAGTTATGTGTTCATGTAATGTAATATAAGATCATGGTTTTTCACTTTTTACGTTGTGTTTTTTCACCCAAATGCCGCTTCAGAGTTCAAATCTTCACTAACCACTTTCTCCGACTGCATGGCCTGTAGCAACAATACACACCATATACAATTTCGTAACCTCTGGTAGGTGACACGACCATCGGGCTGCAAAATTGTGAAACTTAAGAATATATATATACACACAAGCACCATAACTACACTCTGCAAATAAAACACTGCAACGTACTATTAAGAACGTATGTTGAAATATAATGTACTGAAACGTACTATCAAGTTGTGCGACTTGAGAATGTTGCTTGACAAACAGCTCACACATCGGTAGTGCTTTAGAATGTACAAATGCCCTTTTGACGAGCTAGAAGGGCGTTCAAGAAGGTCCGACTCCCTAACGGAAAACAAGCGAGCAAGCAAATAGATACGACAATCGGTGGGCAAAGAAGAAGAAGAAGAAGAAGAAGAAGAAGAGCATCTCACGTCAATTAACATCCATGGAACGGTACTCGAAGAGATCCGTAAAAAACAGGGTATTACATAACAGGAAAACCACAGAAGCTGCACAAACCTATGTGCAGAAGGCAATTCATCATTCGTGGAAAATATATAGATAGACATCAACGATCAACGAGGTAGAGAAACGTAGGCACTGAGACCATGCCCCAAAACCCAATCGTCATCACTCCCAGAAAAGCAAACAAAAAGAGAAAACCAATCCTTGGCCGTTAAAATTTATTTGTGTGCTCCATCCAACTGGATATGACACAACACAATGCACATGGAGATTCGCCAACTTATGCCCCACAATTCCTCAGCCCCCCCCCCCTTTCCACTGAGGCAGAGTTGATGACCGGCGGCGCAAAGCACTCTCACCACCTCCCGTATGATGATTGTTGTTGATCGTCACATCATTCCCCTTCAAACCACCCACCCTATCCTTTGCGTCCCCGTCTCACACCGCCCCCCCACTTGCCACAGCCACTCCCACACACTCCTTGCATCCATTCGCAACAGTTTTCCCTCCACAAGCCAGTATTATCCCCGTGCTGTCCATTTGTATCTTCTTTTCCCCCCATCCGCTCAATGCTCTCCTTCTTCCCACATACCTTTTCACCTCCCGTAATTGTCAAAAGGCGAAAGAAAGAACGGGGAATTCTTCCGTTCATGAAAACTAGCCAAGCAACAATTAATGAACCACCACTCCGCCGGATTCAATCGAGGCACGCACACATGAAACACGGTGCAAACGCCGCAAACGTACGGAGCCCCATCCATGCCTTCAGGCCCCTCTTCGAAAGGCCCTCTCAGCACAAAGGTTCAATCACATGACAACTTGCTTGTCCCATAGATACAAAAAAGGAAAAAAAAAAACGGAACAGAAACGGCAAAAGCAATGGAACAAAGAACGCTGCAATAAGGAGGGAGGAGAGAAACACGAACACAGATGGAACGAAGCAAACAGCCTAATGCAGACAGCGCCATCCTCCCGTCCCGTCCTGCACCACCTCCCTCTCTCACCCAACCCGCCAATCATCGGTGTAAGACACGGAGCAAAACAATGGTTGTGCCATCAACACTCGTACATGATATGCAATCTTGAAGAAGAGTGTCCTCTGCCTTAAATCACTGTCCCTCCGGCCCCCCTACACCACAATCCCCCCTCCTTCGCCCACGCACGGAATCATCTGCCACCTCTCTCTTCTCCACCCTCCTCTGCGGCACATCCTTGGTTCCTAACCACGCTTGCCGTTCCCTCGGGTCTCTAAGCCACATGATCCTCATTCCCTCCATACCAGCAAACATGAAACACACGCACACCTACCTACGAGCAGCAGTTACCCTTTTGAGGAAGTGGCCGGCTTTCCCCAATTCCAGGACGAACAGTCTGCGCTTTGCTGCTTGCTGCCGGCTGATTCGCCATCCTGCAAATCATAGCACCAAAATCAGCACGCATCCACCATCCTCCAAATTACACAACCCCAAATCCGCAAAAGGAAAGAAAAGCTGCAAGGCTAGTAAATTGCATTCGTACTAACACACTGCCTAACATTGCTTTGCAGCAGGATCTGGAATGGCACTGAATCTAGAAAATGAGACTGTAGGAATTGAGGTTTTTGGTAGTGATACTGCCATTAAAGAAGGAGATAATGTCAAACGAACTGGATCTATTGTAGATGTTCGTGTAGGAAGATGTATGTTGGGTCGTGTTGTTGATGCGTTAGGAGTACCTATTGATGGAAAAGGTGCTTTAGGCGCTGTAGAGCGAAGACGTGTACAAGTCAAAGCACCAGGAATTTTCACCCACTTCATTGATTCCAAACAACCCCAAACGAGATGCACATACACTAGCATGTCCCACGCAGCTTCCATGATACACAGAATACCGTTGGCCTGAATGGACGATCAGCATTTTGATCTTCAAAACAGCACCGAGGGGTACACACGCAAACCAGGCATAAATGCTTGTCCAGCACGTAAGAGTGACAAAGTTCACATTTCACGCATGCAAACATATGACAAAAACATGCACACCTCTCAATAGAACCACCAAATAAAACAAAATGAACTGGTTAGAATTCTTCAAAAAAGTATCGCCATGTACATTCCTTACGCAGTTAAGGCCACCAACAAATGCAAGCCTTCGCAAAGTTCGCAGAATCCACGATCTTTAAACCCCCTACAATCATGTCTGCCTGGCCACGGTGGTCATTTCTTTTCTTAGGTATACATTTTCTCTTGCCATCGTGAACTGGCCATTTGCAGCTGCAGGTACCTCCTCTTGTGGGAGTAGCCCACACACATGTAGCGATCATCAAATGAAATGCCAGTTTACATAACATGTAATCAGCAAGCCAAGTTTCAGCCGACACCCCCTTTTGGACCACGCCGCCGTTTTTGTTTTCCCTCCGATCCTGTTTTCGCCAAACCTGAATTTCACTGCGCACCGAGTCTTGCTGAGCTTCGGGTCTGAGAGGTGACATTCCATTTCTCATTTCTGGTACCACCACAAGAAATGATTTCGTCACGTCGGTGATAATCACAAAAGTTGGGAGGGAAAAAAAGGAAACTCAGCTTCCGAAACGGCGTGGAGAATACTAATTTGCTTGTAATGGGGGGGCCCAAAAGGGGGTGGTAGTTTAGCAGTTTAGCACAACCAAATGAAATGTTTTAAGATGATGCGGCGCCCCTCAAACCCACCAGCTGAATAAGAAAAGCAACAGATCCAAGAGTCTCCGATAGTTCATGCCCAGACTCTGAGACTTTACTGAGCAACGCCGCGGCTCAACAACGCCGACCAATTTAGAGCCTCTAACATAATTATTATCTGCCGTGCACAATTATCTGTGCCTGGCACGACAGTCCAGGCATCAATATTATTATTATGCTCATAATGACTTGCTCGACATTTTACATACCTGGTCTTGATCTCTGCTGCCATGGTCATGAAGGCTTGCTCAACATTTGTTGCATTCTTGGCACTTGTCTCGAGGAAAGGTATTCCAATCTCATCCGCAAATGCCTGCAGAGAAGGTCGTACGAAAAGGAGCAGACATCACAGGCTTTTGAATACACAGCAAACAACATCACGGGGTAGTACTATCCCTTCCCATTCACTTAGCAGCCACATCCTTTGGTCTACAGGAGCAAACATCACAGGCTTTTGAATACACAGCAAACATCATCACAGGGTAGTACTATCCCTTCCCATTCACTCAGCACCCACATCCTTTGGTNTCTCCAGGAGCAAACATCACAGGCTTTTGAATACACAGCAAACATCATCACAGGGTAGTACTATCCCTTCCCATTCACTCAGCACCCACATCCTTAGGTCTCCTTCAATCTCCATCCCATCTGGCATTTAACTCAGCACCCATGTTACAAATACCACACTATGGACGACCCTTTGCACGGTTCCAAATAAGATAGCTCCCTCCGCAGCATCAAAGAACTAGAAAAAGCAGGAGCATATCTATGGGCCAGCGACCCCAAAAAGGAACCATAAGCCAAACAGATTGCCCCCGAGATACCCCCGAGCTTCCGATTGAAGAACGATCCTAGCAGCTTTGACGTCTACTTAGTCTTCTCAGATCAGGAACGACACATGATGATCCTCTGCCTCATCTAGAGCTGCTGACCTGCGGAGTACATTATTTTCTTCCCTCCTTCAAGGATATCTACCCCTTAAGCAGCATCGGCCGCAGGGGGGAGGTCCATGGTCCGCTGCGCTCCAAACGGTTCAACATTTTTGTGAGGGCCAGCAGATGAAGGCGATCGAGGGCGGGGGTACATGCAGAGTGGCACGCCTACCGAATTGTTCACAGTGCGCCCCTAAACGAGAGAGCTCTCATCCAGATACTGCTTTCGACTAACATCCCCTCTGATTTCAGCAAGCCGGAGCAGATATGGTATGACTTGATACCAAAAAGGGGGCACTATAGGCGCAGAGGTCCTTCGACCAAACTGAAGGAAACGTTTGTTGTCATATTCCCTATACACTAAAAAAAAGCACAACTGTTCCAGACTGTTTCATCGAACTTTCACCGACTGAAGGAAACGTGTGTGTGTAGCATCACACCCCAATGCGGTTCAGAGATCCTTCGACCAAACTGAAGGGAACGTGTGTGTGTGTAAATGTTGTGAAGATAGGACTTGCCGGTGGAATAGGAAACGCTCTGATGCATTGTTCGGGACATCCATTCAAATTGGAACAATGAAGAGAATACTAGCATCACCGCAGCACAAAAAAGAAAAAAAGGAACCGGACTGATACTCCCCAGAATGGAAATGGAGACACGGCCATGTGGACATGTTTTCTCAAAAAAAAAAAAAAAAAAAATAATAATAATAATAATAATAAATCATATCTTTTGCCAAATATCCTACAAAAAGACATCCAAAAGCCAGAAGTATTAAAAGCAAGAAGCCAACGTCACTTGTGACGCTATGAAACTAGACAAGGAGGTGCAACCAGAAGGAAGCAGAAGCGGACTTAGAAGGTGACATTACCAAACGTTCAGCTTTTGTGACTCGTTACACGAGCAGGAAGAAGGAATGGCAAGGCGGAAAGTTGAGGCATCCAGGTAGACTTCTGGAGTGTCCAGGCGGACTCCGAATCTCAATGGTCCACTTAATCTCAATAGGTCGGGGTCTGGGTCCCAAAAAGGTTCTAAACAGGTCTGTCCATGGCTGTAGCCTAACGCCTGATCGTCTGACGTAACTAAAGGTCTAATTTATCGAAGCACCTACAGAGAGACAGATTATGCAAGCAAGCACCTACACAGTGACATAGATCCAATTATCACACAGACCCTGAGGAATACTTTGTGACAACTCAGATACCCAACAGACCATGAACTGACCACCTTCACCCGAATAGAACGCCCGGTCATTATAGCTGTATTGTCGAGGCAACATTCAGTCTATAGATACAGCAACAAAGACCGGGCATTCTATTCGGCTGAAGACGGTACCCGTTAAAAGCAGCAAAAACTTTTGCCTCTCGGTAATAAGCCCCTCGACGGAGACAGCGACAAAGACCGGGCATTCTATTCGGGTGAAGACGGTACCCGTTAAAAGCAGCAAAAACATTTTGCCTCTCGGTAATAAGCCCCTCGACGGAGGTCGTTCAAGAGGTCACAAAAGGCGGCAGAGACGCAAACACACGCGACAGAACTCCGACCAACATGACGTACCTTCGCCGTTTGATAGTCCACAACTTTCTTCGCTGTCAAATCGCATTTGTTCCCAACGAGCAATTTGTTGACGTGCTCATTCGCATACCGGTCAATCTCATTCAACCATTGCTTCACATTGTTGAAGCTTTCTTGGTCGGTCACGTCGTACACAACCTGAAAGAACATACAGCCCACCCACCAACCAAATAGGCAGCAGCAGCAGCAGCAGTGAGAAAAACGGCAATGTTCTTCAATCCAACCACGAAAGCAGATCGGTTCGTATCTCCTTTCTATTCCAGAGAGGAGACCAGACTCGCCACGCCTCCTCGAGCAACACATTCAATTTGATTGAATTGATGATTCACTCACTGAACTGGTGCGCGTTTTTCCGATTTATTCGATTCAAAATATGACCTTTTTTTTTTTTTTTTGCCTTGTCAAAAAGCAAAAGTCCTCACTTCTTCCCAACTGAGATGAGTTAAATGCATCATCCATAGGGTCCCGTACTTCATCCAAAGGCTGTAAATTCCTCTCCTATGCACAACTGGTCCCTCAAGCTCCCCATTCTGAGCCCTTCCAGTGATTTCACACATACACCAAGCCCCATTCTGAGCCCTTCCAGTGACTTAACACATACACCAAGTATTGCCAAAAATGTGTTGTCAACAAGAATAGACTCTAGCATGCCTCTATCGATGAAGTTGGGCGTTGCACACAAAAACACGCCAGCCACACCAAGCCACATGCCAAACGATTCAACGAATAGAACATAAAAAGTGCCCACACCAAGCTCGAAACAAACCCTTTGCCTTAGAGAACCACAAGTGAAGAGGACATAACCCAAATGGAAGCATAGCAACTGGAAGTGAGACCCTGTCTCCACATAATACTAAAAAAACAACGGGCTGTTAGCATGCATACAAATCTGATTCGCAGGAACGTTGGAGATACAGTGATAGGGAGAACAAAGATACAGCAATAGGGAGTACAGAAATCAAACAGGAAGTGCAATCTACTTAAAGAGGTAAAAACACCATGGAACTGAATATAAAACGTCACTCACAATGATTCCGTGAGCTCCCCTGTAGTAGCTGCTCGTAATTGTCCTGAACCGTTCCTGCCCCGCAGTATCCCACTGCAAATTCACATGCACACCACATAGAAAGTAAATATAACGTTCCTGTCCAATGACCCACCCCCTCATTCCCCACCAAGAAATCTCTCTCTCTCTCTCTCTCTCTCTCTCTCTCTCTCTCTCACGCACACACTTCCTCTTTTTTTTTCTGGCTCCCCCTCATTCCCGACCAAGAAATCTCTCTCTCTCTACTAGCTCTTGCTCTCTGGATCGAAACCTTTCTCTCCCCTTTCTCACATAGTGGTGTGTACACAAGACCCCTCACAAATACAAACCAAGCCTTGAGCATAGATCTCACAAATTCAACCCAGGTCTGCGAATAAGTTTCACCAGTAGCGCACAAACAAGGGTCCCAAACAAAGAGACATCTCTGCCTTGGCCAAACAATGTTACAGGGTAGAGTGCCACCTCTTTTGCTGCTTCCCCTTCATTTACCCTTGAAGGTTCCCCTTGCAGCCAACCAAGTGCACAAGCCTGATGCAGGGAGGGTTTCCCCCTCCCAAAGAATATGACGGATCTACCACCATCCCTCCCATCCCTCCCATCCACCTAGCCACATCTGCTGCACGACTGCGAGGGAAGTGAAGGGACTCCCACACTCACAATCTGCAGCTTGATAGTCTTTCCGTCCAGCTCCACCGTTCGAATTTTCTGCAACAGCAAAGCAATGAAAGAACAAATCAAATCAGTACAACGGAACATAGAACTTCAAATATCTGTCTATCTACATGTAACCTATCCCTCACCCTCATCCTCCACCCTCGTACAAATCTAAAGACTGCCAGCCCAGAGAAAATACAGGGTTTAAACCACCACTACCTCCGTCACTCTTGGGAAAAATGCTAGGTTACCTTGCCGGACGTCCGGGACCCCCCTGGCCGTCCGGGATGTCCGACCGGACGTCTGGTCAGACATCGGACCGGACAGGGTACGTCCGAGCTAGCGCAAAAAAAAAAAAAAAAAAAAATGAAAAAAATCATGTGGCTTCCAGCTTGCATTAGGTGTATGCCACCAAATTTTTGGATCATTTGGGCCAGTAGAATAAATAATAAAAATCTTTAAGGATTCATTCCCCATCTATACCCCTCCTATCCCCACCAAAACCCCTTCTACCCCCCCCTCCCCCCCCAAATACCACGCTATCAGCAAATGCTCAGAAAAATCTGAAATTTTTTGTGGGGGGTCTCTAGGCCATGCGCAACACTGTCATAATTTTTTTATTTTATTTTTTTGGTGCCAAAAAGGCGTCGTCCGGAAATCCGGACGACGGGGGGGAGACGTTCAGTGGAGACGTCCGGTCTCCGGACCGTTGGTAACCTAGGAAAAATGGGAAAAACGCTAGGCTACCAGAGTGGCCCGGGGTCATTTGCCCGGCCGGGCCAAAAAAATTTAAAAAAAATGAAAATAAATATTATTTATTATTTTAAATTTGGTGCAGAATTTCGATGCAACCCTGAGGCAAAAGCTGTTCAGTTTATTTTTCTGCATAACATAGTTTTTTTTTTGGATTTGTTGGATTTGTTTTTTTCTGGGACCTTCCTTGGTCCTTGCACGGGCTGGCCACCCGGCACCCGGGCGGCCCGGCTGGTAGCTTAGAAAAAACGGCTTTTCCGAAATCTTCGGGGGTTGGACGAGGCTCGGCAGTTGGGCCTTGTGGGCGCCTTAGAAAAAGAAAAAGAAAAAGAAAAAGAAAAAGAAGAAGGAAAAAAAAAATAGAAAAAAATGATCATGTCGGGGAAGGCCGTGCACCAAGTTGTGGTCACACGGAAACTCAAGCTTTGTATCTAGCGACTATAGTGGCTAGTTTCAAGTTTTCATTGTTTGTGTTTTCTGTTTTCGTTTTCTTTTGTTTTGGTGCCCTGCCAGGGAGGCACAGCGCAGTCCATGGGCTGCTGACACTTCGTGGAGAAGAGCATGCAATGTGCGCCATGACCGAGTGCAAAGGCTACCCAAGCTCGATCCCTCACTCCTCAGATCACACAGCCTGTCCATTTTTCCTCTGGCAGCATACATAGCCTTTGCTGCTGAGTGTGAGCTGCAGAGAACCCTACTACTGCAGTCCATAAGCAGCCCAGGCAAAATCCTGACCTACCGTGGAAACTGGGAGTAACAAAAGGAAAAGGCATTTTTACAGCCTCCTAACTCAATAAAATATCCAAACAAATTGTCAAATTCCAAGTACAAAATGACCATTTACCAAGACGAGCCTCTCAGTGACGCAAGCACGGAAAGCGAGCCACCCAGAACCGATTCCCAGGCAGAGGCCTCCCAAGCTGGAACGCGCAAACTGCCAAGGCCAACTCTCACTGACCAGCGATCCAAAACACCACGACGACTTCCCAAGCTCGAACGCAAAATACCGAACAAATTTGAGGCCCAGAACGGCCATGTAGAAGGCAAATTCCTCCAAGATCGACAAAACAGAATACCCGCACTAAATACAATACAGAATGATCATTGAGGCAGCAAAAGTTCCTTCACGAGCGCTGACCTCGTCGTCATCGCCCGACCTTCACCCAAACCATAACACTCCGTTTGTCAGTGAGTCGATGATTATGCCTCCGCATGCGTTGTTGTAGTGTAACATGGCCTAAACGTTCATTACTGTAGCCAGTGTTCATAAACAGCGGAAGAGAGAGAGAGAGAGAGACCACCAGAGCAGTGAAGAGGGAGGGCCGACACCTCAGACTATACTCATGAAATGCTATCAGGACGGCTTTATCAATAAGGATTCAATATTATTAGAGACAAAATTACATTCGTTTGGTTATTTATCTTTTCTCACATTACTCGTTTTCTTTACTTCTTCTTAACGGCTACATCGAACACGAAACGATTTTACTTGTCTTGTTATTTATCTTTTTTCACATTACTCATTTTCGTTACTTCCTAACGGTAACATTTTCGTTACTTAATCTCAACGGTAACATCGGTAACATTTTCGTTTCTTCTTCTTAACGGTAACATTTTCGTTACTTCTTCTTAACGGTAACATTTTCGTTACTTCTTAACAGTAACACTTTCGTTACTTCTTAACGGCAGCATCGAACACAATACCATCTTACTCGTCGTGCAATGAGCTACACGGTCACAGCATCGATATCCTAACTGAAGGTTGCAAGCATCATCCTTGTTTACGTTATGGCAATCATTACAGAAGCAAACACTGCAGTTGGTGTGTTCGCTGCACGAAAATGACGAAATACTTGATATCCATGCGTTGGATACATCACTTCTTGAAGTAGCTCATCACCCGCTCTCTCGACTGCATCGACCTGAGTTTCCCGCAGGAAATGCACTCCTCAGACTCGTGCCGGACCTACGCATTGCACGAGGAGAGAAGGGATGGTTGTAATCCGTTTGAGCACGTGTTCACAGCGACAAAGCAGAAGCTACTTCCTGCCACGTCAGCAGCCCGCGATTACCTGTCACCACTGCCAACATGGAGGGATGAAAATCACTCTTCCGCACGTAAGCAGAGCGGATTACTGACTGCATACACGAGCACTGTTCCTGAGGAATCCGACCGTAATTACGATCAGATTCGTCAAGGAAAATCCGAGCGCGAGTACACCTTCAGGACAGACGCAGACCAACTGGTCCGCGGACGCAGAGGCATGTGCCCGTCCTCGTGTTCACCGTCAGAGATGATTACGCTCTGATTTCTTCGACGTGGAAGGGATACCCTTGATGACTTGGATGCCATCTTCGTCTATGGACCCATGCTAACCCCCTCCTTTGTCTTTCTTAACGGATCGGAAAAGGGAGTAGTAGTAGATTCTCTTCCCCCCACCTCCCTCCTCGCTCCTCCGTCTCCCCCCGCAGCCTGTGAAAACCTTTGCATTTGTTTACCCTCAAACAGAATGGAATCAATGGATCGTTGCCTGAGTGTCTTTCTGTCGAATAAGCATATACGACCACGACAGCAAGATTGATCAGCCGCACCTAAGAAATGGCAAAGAGGAATGGAAGTGAATTTAAAAAATGGTAAAGAGGAAAAAATGTGGCTAGGATGGCATGCGACGGAAGGTAATCGAAGTGAATTCAAGAAATGATAAAGAGGAAAATGTCAGACGATGGGTCTACAACTTGCCACATCTAAGCAATAAGTCGTACACAGAGCCGAACAGCACACTGACGAAGGAATACGGACCAGGAGGAAGAAATGGAGATGATCAAAAACCGGGAAGTCGACAAAAAGAATCGTCCCCAGCGCGTTGTGACGTCATACCTCTCGCTTCTTTGAGAACGAAAGAGGATACGCATCGATCGTTGGACGGCCATGGATTGTGTGACAGCGAGTGACAGGAGCGGCAAAGTGAGTAGACGCACAGAAACAGGGGTCCTAACAAGAACTGAATTGCCACAACACCGGAGTATAAAGAGGACAAGAAATGACAGCAAAAGAACTGATTTGCCACAACACCGGAGAATAAAGACGACAAGAAATGACAGCAAAAGCCCAACACGCACAAGGGATAATGAGACGTAACAGACGTCAAATGTCGAAGAGGCAGGATCGTCAAATGACAACGAAGATGACCGAGGACAAGCTGGTCACGATGACAGCAAGAATGTCGTTCACACTGGCAACAGAATATGCTCCAGAGTCGAGAGCCTCTTCAGGGACCAGCTGTTTTGAAATTCGAGGACAAGCTCGCTTCTGGAGGTCAAAGGACAGAGCGAGGAAAACATACACAACGAAAATCAAGATTACGAATATTAAAACAAAATAAAAAATTACGAATATTAAAAAAAAAATTAAAAAAATGACGAATATTCGGTCAAAATATAACAGGTACGTGCATGCGTCAGTAACATGACACGTTGCCAGAGATGATGATCTAAGACGGTAGTACCCATATGCTTCGGATAGACTATATATATATATAATCCGACGGGGTGGGGTGGGGGGGGGGGGAACGAAAAAAAAAAGGGGGGGGGGGGGGGGGGGGAGGGGGGGAAGGGGGGGGGGTGTAGGGGGGGGGGGGGGGGGGGGGGGGGGGGGGGGAACGAAACAAAACAGGACCGGTTGAGATATCTCAAGCGAAAGGGAACTAATCGACAGTCAAAATAAGAAACATGAAAAAAAAAAAAAAAAAAACGTAAGACATCAGAGGCTTTCTCCCCTCGACCAGATACTCGACGCGCGGTTTCCTAATCGCTAGTGTTAATTTCGACATCGACTTTGATTCGTCGGCGGCTTCAATTACAAATGAATGACAACGCAGAGAGAGAGACACGCTCAATCTCACAAGGACACCAGAAAGTGTGGCCTCCGCATTTAGCCAGCGACAGACCATTCGAACTGGACTTCCAGTCTGAGAAATCATCGCCCCTAGGCGACAATCATGAGACAGGCCGGCCGACCAGAGCACTACAAGGCTTTTCCCACTCCGCTATGAAGCGATATCATACTCCTCTTCTTGTCTCCTTCTCCTTTCTCTTCCCTATCAACAATTCTCTCCCTCTCTCTCTCTCTCTCTCTCTCTCACACACACACACACACACACACGAGAACACAAAAAAAGACGTATTTGTGAAGATCACACACAGAGAAACATCTCACCCACCCACCCACCCACACACAATGAACAAAAAGGCGTATTTTTTGAGGATCACACACCGAGAAACAAGCACTCTCTTCTTACTCTCAAACACACTAACATTCCTTACGTCCACATGGCACACATTCTATAATCCACTTCTCCTTACGTGTCATGTGTGCTGTGAGCGAGCGACTTCCGGATGTGTACCACACGATCAGCACCCCCCCACTCTCTACCACACGATCAGCACCCCCCCACTCTCTCTACGACGCGAGTGCACATCCTTCGCATACTCTTGCAACGATTAACGCTCTTGTTATCTCTGATAGTTCACTTACACGAACGACATGAGAACGCGGGTATCTGTTGCACGACGACGACAGAGCCACGAGAATTGGAGGCTACCACCCAAAACTTCCACCTCCTCAGTCGAACCAACTTTCACCTCTTCAATCAAATCAACCGCATGAGTGAGACAGATTAGTCAGTCGCTCATTTCAATCCTTCTCCCTCTCTTTACCCCCCTCTCCGCCCTCTCTACCCCAGGCAAAAAAGCCCTGATGGAGAACGCGAGAACAACGTATGGCAAGCGGAACGCGTGCTCAGCGTTCGAGGCAAAGGGATAGAACACGACTTGTTGCATCTCGTCTTGTTATAAAGCAAAATTCCCCAGTCGCAGAGTTGGGCAAGCTACCGTCGAGAGAAAAGGGGGGAAATTCACGACGCTCGATCCCAGTTTGACAAGAGCATCTCAACACATACGTCCAACGAGATTTGTGACATAGCCGCTCAAATGAAAAACCCTTAAATACAAAAGCCCACGAAAATACTCATGCTTCATCAGACTCCAATTTCATCGTGCAGAACCCCCACCAAGAAAGGCGACGATGGGTTTCCTCTTTCGCGAAAGGCACATCCGTCCGTTTCCATGCCAAGAACCGAAATCGTCTTCTTCTCTAGAGAAAGACAATGAATAGAGCAAGGGATTTGAAAATCGCCCGCTTCTGTATCCGTCTCTCTGGCTTTGCAATCTGCATTTATTTCCATTCTGATGCCCCGCGTAATGAATTCAACAGGGGAGAACCACTTACTGAATTCAACAGGGGAGAACCACTTACTGAATTCAACAGGGGAGAACCACTTACGGTGTCCCTGCCTCCTTCCAACACAATGTGCCTCCTCTCTCCCAACTCCCTCGTCTAGAGGTGCTGTACTGATGGAAACCACCGCGCTCCGAAACGCGCTGAAGTGCAAATAGCGCCTTCGGTTCCATTCTATGTTAGGGTCCACACGAGTGAGGATCACAAGGCAGGAGAGTTTGTTAACTGATAGCGACTGTATATGTACACATATATATGTTGCTACACTGTATATATATTGTCACATGATATCAGAGCGCCGAAGCGAGAAACGAAAGAAAACAAGGAAAACAAGAAAAACTTAATTCATTTTTAATCTTCTTCCTTAAAACTCCCCCAGTTCAGAACCTCTTGCGTACAAGGCAACACCCCCAGTTCAGAACCTCTTGCGTACAAGGCCGCCCACGTGGATGTAGTTACACTACATATATATTGTCACATTGTGAATCAGGGCGCAAAAAAAAGGGAAAAGAAAAAAGGAAAAGGAAAAAAGGGGAAGGGGAAGGAGGTAAGGAAAGCTCCACCTGTTCATAACCTCTTACGTACAAGGCCAGCCACGTGGATGACAGGTTGAGCGCTGGCTGCCCCCATCCCCGTGTGTCACAAGGACCCCACATGAATATGAGAGCGCAAAAGCGAAAAAAAAGAAAAAAAAAGAAAAAAAAGAATGAATTCGTTTTTTTTAATATCTTCTTCCTTTCAAGACTCCCCCTGTTCAAAACCTCTTGCGTACAAGGCCGCCCACGTGGATGTAGGTTGAGCGGCGGCTGTCCCCACCCCCGTGTGTCATATCGACCCACTTGCACACAGCCAAAGGGCAAAGAGGCAAAGAAGAGAGGCAGGAAATATATAGTCAAACAGAGCTGCCCGGTAAACCGTAGGCAGAGAGGGAGGGAGAAGAGGACAAGAAACGAGGGTCCGTGACAAACTTCGTAATACATATCGTCACAATACATACATCTATATATTATATAATTTATATTGTCAGACTGTGTATCGGAGCGTAAAGGCGGAAAATGACAAAACAAGAGAAGGAAAAGAAGGAAGGAAAGCCCCACCTGTTCATCACCACTTACGTACAAGGCCAGCCACGTGGATGACAGGTTGAGCGCTGGCTGTCCCCATCCCCGTGTGTTACAAGATATATATTGTCACACTGTGAATCGGAATGTATCGTCAAGCAGAGCTGCCCAGTAAGCCATGGGCAAAGCCGGAGAAGAGGACGGCAAACGAGGGGCCGTGACAAACTGTTTCCTTGGAGTTTCACCGACTCATCAGGAGCCTGAACCCTACATATGCGGAGAGTCATTGACAAAAGTGTAGGCATTGAGGGAGAAAAGGACAAGACGGGCTGTGACAAACCGTTTCGCGGCGGAGGTTCACTGACTCAGCAGGACGTTGAACCCGGTCATAATTACAAGTCATAATCAACTTAACCCCGGTTCCCGTTGAGCACCAACGACCATCCACCACAACTGATACCCCAGTATCACGTGGCCGCCAACCACTGCCCTCAATGGCGTACCTGTGACACCGAGTATCTGACAACAGTAATCAATAGGTCGGTGCATACATACCAATCGCTTAAATATGTATATATTGTCACAAGAATATGAGAGCGAAAAAGCCAAAAAAAGGGGAAAGAAAGAAAACAAGGAAAAAATGAATTCGTTTTTTTTTATCTTCTCTTCTTCCTTACAACTCCCCCTGTTCAGAACCTCTTGCGTACATGTATGATATCGATATAAAGATAATACCTCGGGCATGCAACTTTGACGTATCTGACCATAATTTCGGCGTTTTCTGCACCGAAATCGTCATGTCCTACTAGCGTGAACCCGGTAAGCCCTGAAGAATTCGGCTCAACAAACGCCGAAATTACGGCCAGATACGTCAAAGTCACATGCCCGAAGGGGTATAAATATATACAATATATATTAAATACATATGTATATATATTAGATACATATGTATTACATACATATATATGTTGTCACATGAATATCAGAGCGCAAAGGCGGAAAAAAACAGAAGAAAACAAGAAACAACAAAAAAATAATTCGTTTTTTATCTTCTCTTACAACTCCCCCAGTTCAGAACCTCTTGCGTACAAGGCCGCCCACGTGGATGTAAGTTGAGCGGCGGCCGCCCCCACCCCCGTGTGTCATATCGACCCACTTGCAGATGCGTATCGTCATATACATGTGAAATACAACTGTAAACATCAGTGGACATAAGAATAAAAGAGACGAGAGCATTAAAACAAAAGAGAAACGTAGACCCCCCCACGCCGATTCACGCACACGACAAGAATCGACGACCACTTGCCTGCGGCCTGACATACCACAGTGCCTCTCCACCTGACACAACAGTAGTACTGGGCTCAAGAATGACCGGCCAGAGCTGGAAACAAGCAAACAAGTAACGACGTATTCAACGCCCTTCCTCGCGTTGAAACAAGACAACACACTTCGATTCGATGTGACCAAGATCCCTCTTTATCTGCATTAGTTTACGGAGGGAGGAGAGTACACTGTACAGTAGTGCACGACGGGGCCCCATTACCCGCAAGGAGTAGAAGAGGGAAAGGAGACACTTCACATGCAGATGGGAAACTGCACACTTACAAAGTCCACGCCAATGGTGCTGATGTAGCTCTCCAAATACGAGTCATCCTGTCAAAAGAGACGACAGAAACGGAGAAGAGACCAAAAGTGAGAAACGAAGCGGGCGGGGCGAGTAGAGGCAGCAAGGAGAACAAAGACACCCCGTCCAAGGAGAGGGAGGCGGGAAGAAGCAAA